AGCAATTGGCCAGCGTGGCCTGTTTGGAAATCACCACTCAGCCACACACTTCCCCCTGCAAAAACCCCCTACCTTTAGCCACGCTTGCCTCCTCAGATGCCAATAAGTCCTGTTATGGCACTGTCATTAAGCTCATGGGAAAGGATGACACCTGTTACATACAAGCCAATCCCAGCTCTGTCTAGTTTGGGGAGCTCCTGGCCTTGTTAAAAATCTTCCAAGTCTGCCAGACTGAGCCGCTTGATATATTCTCCTAGAGCCAGTATGCGGTTCAGGCCCTCAGATGTCTTTCCTTTGCTCGAGTAAAAGGCCATAAGGATCCCATAACTAGAACGATGAGAACTCTCCAAATTATCTTAGATAACAGACAATGGCCCTGGCACATCTCCCACATAAGATCACACACCAAGCTCCCTGGGATCTTGGCAAAGGAAAATGACAAAGCAGATAAACTTATTATGTCTGTAGAGATTCCTCTACTAGAACAAGCCAGAGCGTTACACCAACAATTTCACCTTTCTCCTTGCATTCTGCACCACCTTCTACCTGACCTACTCATCTCTAAATGCAGACATCTGAGCATGTCTTGCATTACATGTACACCCCTTGCTCCATTAGGCCCCCTCAATCGATATGGAGTTAACCCGCATGGTCTCCTACCCAATGCCCTCTGGCAAATGGATGTCACCCATTATAACTCCTTTGGTAATCTTAAGCATGTCTATGTCATTGTTGACACCTACTCCTCCTTTCTTTTCACCATCACTCAAACCGGTGAAAAGACCTCACATGCCATTAAGGTGTTCAAATCGGCAATGTTGGTAATGGGAGTGCCATGGACCCTAAAAACTGATAATGGGCCAGATTACACCTCTCTGCAATTCCAATAATTCCTGTCAACATGGAAAATTAGCCACGAGGTGCTTATCAAACAAGTAACTTGGGAGGGACTAAACATCCCTACTCATAATGCTATTGTGCCTGTTCGCAATGATAACATTCACAAATGGGTACTTGCTACTAGAGACTTAGACCCTAGGGTGGGCCCTATTGAGGCTTTGACTGCCTCCTTGGAGACTCTTTTGTCACAAGGAAAACCCACCTGCTTTGGCACACAGGAAGGCTGCTGGAACTGTGGGGGCTTGGCCACTTTTGTAGCCACTGCCCAAGAGGTAAAGCCCACCCCAAAACTCGCTGTCCCAAGTTCAAAAAAGGGATCCATTGGGCTAAAGACTGCAGGTCACAGCCTCAACTGGAATCAGCTCCTTTAAACTCCACCTGGGGCACCTCTCAGCCCCACCTACAAGAGGGGAAACAAGACAGATATTATGGACTCTCCCAATCCTCAGCCACTCCCCACTAATGACCCTCTTATACTCTTTCCGTTATCACTTCATTCCCCAGCCTACCCCACCCTCTATTCAACTAATTCTACACTTGGCCTCCTCACCACAGACGCAGTTACTTCCTAGGAATCACTGAATGGCTCCTGGCCCCTAAATAGCTCTCTGTGATTCACTACAAACAATGCATCCTCATGCATTGGGCTGTTCAACTTGACTGCCCAAGATTACACTGGCAGTGCCTCCTTGGGTTACATACTTAAACTCCAGGGCCTTTCCCCTACCTTCAACAACACCGATGCAACCTTGATCCTTGCTGCACTGGGGACAATCACAACAGGGGAGGCAGAGGGCCCACCACCCCTCCGCCACCATTTTGCCCTGCCATTCTACACCCATTGCTCCCCAACTGCCCATGCATATGCTCCCTTGCACCCTTTTTCCTCATGCTCCCTATACCATGGCAGAGATGCCACCCTAAGCCCAACCATGCCATCCCTCCCTTTTGCCACTTCAGCCGCTCCCTCTCTAATCACCCCCTAGGATCTTGGAGACAACTGGCCCCCACCTATCCCTGTGGCATTAAGATCTTCCATACCAACCATGAATCAATACTCGGTAACTGGGACCTCTGTGGTCTGCATGCCTGCATGGACATGAGGCCGTTACTGGCACAGCAGGGCCTTCAGCTTTCCAACAGCACTTACACTAACACCAATCCCTCTACTTGTGCCAAAAACAAAATCCTTACATCCATTGATCACACGACATCCTGGCCCCCTACCCCCATTTTCGTGCAGCCCCCATTTGCCTTATTGCTAGCCAATGTTACCTTCCTCGGGGACAACTCAACTACTCTGATACCAACACCACCTGTGTACTGGCAGCCTGCCAGAACCATCCAGCTCACATAGTTCTCTTTATGCGTGAACCCGTGGCCCTTTGGGTTCCAGTCACCAATGCAACCCACTTCCATGTTGTCACCCTTATAGAGCGGACAGCCTTGTCACAAGCCCCCCACTTAAAATGGGATTTCGGGGTCACTGCTGCTCTCATCTCAGCCATCATCCTTGCATTAGAGTCAGTACCCACCGCTGCAGTGGCTATCAACCAATCCTCCACTACTGTGGAGACACTCAAGGAGGCCATGTCCAAAACCTCCTCTACCTTTGACACTCAGTCCCTTATCAATCAGCATCTTCACCGGGTAATTAATGTGTTACAACAAATTGATCTCTTAAGTGAAGAGCTGGCAATTACCAAAGACATGGCTCTGCTAGCTTGTGACCCTCGCTTTAGGTCACCTTGTCTCACCCCGTATAAAGTACAGAATATTACTGAAGCGCACCTACAACTTGCACACTATATTCACAGCCACTGGAATCAAAAGTTTCTTAATTATTCTATATTACTAACTAATCAAATTATTGCTCTAAATTATACCCATGCCCCATCATAGAGGCCAGAGAGGGGCCAGAATTTAGCACTCTCTGACAGTATGCTGAGATCCCAGTGGCTTCACCGTGGAGGTCTGAACTCACCCTTAACCTACAAAAGCCAGATCTGCCCTGTGGCCTTGGGGGGGGCCTCACAAAATCCCAGGTAGGAGGATGGTATGGCATATAGGGGAAGCTCACCATCACGTGGAGGCAGGATTTGGGGCTGTCAGGCAGTCCCCTGTGTTCTCAGGTCCTCTGGTAGTTGGAGGCCAAAGCCCGGCACTCTCTGCTGGTCTGCTGAGCTCTGAGGTGCTACCCCGATGGAGGTCCGAAACTACCCTCTCAGGCTATCTGCTAGCCTACCAAAGCCAGATCTGCCCTGGGGCCTTGGGAGGGGCCTCACAAAATCCTAGGTAGGGGGATGGTATGGCGCAATTAGGGGCAGGTCATGACCATGTGTAGGCAGGATCCAGGGGCTGGATCCAGGGCCCTCTGGTTGTTGGAGGCCAGAACCCAGCACTCTCTGGTGGTGTGCTGAGCTCCAAGCTGCTACCCTGATGGAGGTCTGACCCCACCATCTCCTGGATCTCATAATATCTGAAAATGCATGTGTATACCTTGGGGACAGAGCCCAGCTCTATGTATAAAATTCTTTTGTTTCATATATATTTTATAAGCATATCCTGAGGTCACTTTATACAGTATTTTTAGTGTACATGTGTTTTGACTGTCACCCATCAAATGAGGTCAGGATGGAATTTTCTACTTGTGACATCATGTTGGTGCTCAAAACATTTCAGACACTGACTCATTTTGGATTATGAGTTTGTCGAATTTTTTTTTTAATCTGATGAGGTTGCTCAACTTGAACTAAAAATATTTTGCTACGTGGACCAGGCTGGCCTCAATCTCAGAGAGATCAGACTGCCTCTGTCTTCCAAGTACCAGGACTAAAGGTATGCACCACCACACCCAGCCAATTAAATTATATTTCTAACAGTGGTCTGTATTTAAGAAAAAAATTACACTTCAATTTAATGAATTGCAAATATGTTTAATATAAAATGTTGATATCCTCCTCAAAGCATTATTTCCACACAAATTTAGGAAAACAAATTTAAGATAGTGGTATCTTTGAAAAACACACAAACCAAAAAATTAAGAAATCACAAGATGTCTTTATATACTTGCTTTTACAAAATGAGATGTACAAAACAATTAACAGTCACCTTTAAAATGTATCTCCCCAATACACACTCAAACTGGGAATGAAATATGCAACGAGTAACCATCTTTATGTGAAATCTCCAAAAGACAAATCTTGAAAAATACAAAGATGGAAATGAGATTAACAAAAGTGAGGTCACTAAAGCTGTCAGCCTCAAACCTGTTAATTTTGAAATATAAGATTCAGACTTTTTGTCTTTGCTTCAATGCTTTACATACAGTTGTAACTGTAAATCCAAGAGATATTTAAATCAGAAGATTAAAACAATATTCGAAACTCATTATCTGAGAAAATACAGTACGGTCAAGTCTCAAAATATTTCTAATAACATTAAAGGTGTTTAAATTATAATACCACCAATCCATCACACAAATTCAGTAGAATTGCTACCTGAATAGTTAATAAAATATTAAGTGCCAAAGGTTTAAGATCCATAGGGGATCATACGTCTTTTTAAACTATAATTTTAAAATATAAAAAGAAATTAAAGAAATCTGGTTTTCCAGATGAATAGTGGATAAACTATAACATTGTATATTTGGTTCTAAATAATAAATAGAAGTTTGAAGGTATTCTTTTTGATAAAGTTATGAGGACATCAATTTTATCTTTTCACTTACAGAAACTGTATACATACATTCTGAGATAATGTAGGAATGAATATTTATATAGCTGTACATCAAATATACTAAGTTTAGCTACAGAATTTACAAAAGTTTATCTGGGACAGCTAAGTTTTACTCTAAATTTTACCTCAACAAATGAACAAATTTTTCAGATCCCCATATATGACACTGAAAGAAGTGGAGGGAAAAATGAAAATAGAGTAATTGCATTTAGCAATTGAGAATAAGCTGCACTTTGAAAGGATGAAGTTTTATCTAACAGTATATGTATTTTTTTTTACACTGTACAGAAGGGATGCCATGAATGGCATTTTCTGAAGCCTTGATACTAGGTTCTCTTTTTAAAAAATACACAGTATTCATACTGCATGCTTAAGCTGCAAAGAATAGAATTACAATATGATGTGACTTGTCAACAAATTTGACAAGCACTGGGGTTGGCACCAGGGAGAACTTAACTCCCATCAACACCCAGTCATGTGGAAGTCTAGATCACATAGTTTTATTACTTAAAAAACATTCCCACATTACATATGCTATTGCATAATCCAAGCATATTTACTCAAAAAATATCAAATATTTATGAAATTTAAATTTCTATCTTATAATGCATTTAGGTCACTCCCATTCCCACTCCATGAGAGCCCAACAATTCAAATGAGATATCATATTTTAATAGTGCTCAATGACTTATAAAACTACTGCAAGTTATTTTCCTCTCTGTGAACTAACACAAATGCTGGTAAGCGGCTTTCCAGTAATCCTGGAGAGCATGTGTCATGTTTGTAGAGATTAACTAGCTACTGCTGCCCTTCTGTTGCTGTAAATGAAGTTTCAAGATGAGCTCTCGAATATCTTCCCGTTTGGTCTTTATTACATGACGAGGAAACCATTTTTCCAAATGAATTGGAAATTCAAAATTGACAATGGGATCCTAATGAAAAAAAAGAAATAATGCAATCAGTTTGGCTTCATAATTTCAATTTTTTAAATTTCATTTTTACAGGAAATGAAAAAAATAGTAATTTAAAAAACAATAGCTTTCTGACATACCATAAAATTCGCCTAAAGTATACAACCAGTTTTCAGTTACTCAGAGTTGTGTAACCAGGACCACAATAAATTTTGGAGTATTTTCATTAAATTGCTAATTTTTGAACATCAAAACTAAATACTGTCTATTCTATTACAATGCATATTTAAGTGACTGGTACTTGGTAAAGAATGATTCAACAGAATTCAAAAGTCAAATTAGCTTAAACATATGTTAATATTTTTTAACTATTAAAAAGAAAGCATTGGTGATAAAGAATCTTAGATTTTAAAATATTTTATCTACTATTTTTATTTTTTTATGGAATGTATTGCCTGCAGATATATAAGTGCATCTTATATCATGCAATGCCTATGGAGGTCAGAAGAGGGTGTCAGATCTCCTGGAATTGGAGATAAGGATGGCTGTTGTGTTAGCTGCCATGTGGGTGCCGGGAACTGAACCCAGGTCCTCTGCAAGAACAGCCAGTAGTGCCTGAGAGGGTGGGTTCTGACCTCCCTCGGTGTAGCACCTGTGATCTCAGCAGACTGCCAGAGAGTGCCGAGTTCTGGCCTAGAACTGAGCATAGAAGCTGAGAACGCAGAGGACCACCTGAGAGCGGCCCAGATCCTGCCTCCATGTTGTGTTCCAGCAAATAGGGATCGAAACCTTTGAAGGAAGCCTGAATGCACCTGACTGGAAACTGACTTGGGCTTGTGTGGGTGCTCCTGAATAGCTGATCTGAACACATCAGTTCCCTCCAAAATAAAACCTGAGAGAACCTGAAACCTGTACCAACCAGCTTTACATAACCAATAAGGAAAGGACTTAGGCACCCCAATAATACAAACAGAAGTATACTTCAACTTAATTTTTATATCAGAATCATAAACAACAAAAGAAATTCACATGCCGAAACCACAACAAAAGAATAATAGTAAAGAATCATAGTAAAAATACTGTGTACAGAACAAAGAGAGAATACTGAAAGCAGCAAAAGAAAAACAAGTTACATACAAAGGAAAGTCCATCAGAATTACAGCTGACTTATCAATACAAACTACGAAACCCAGAAAGGCCTGGGCCAAGGTATTTCCAGTTCTACATGACAACAGATACCAGCCCAGCAAAAATGTCTATTATAGTTGAGGGGGAAAGAAAAATCTTCCATGACACAAATAGCCTGAAAGAATACATGTCCACAGAACCAGCCCTTCAAAGAATACTTGAAGCAATACAGAGAGCAGAGAGAGAAACAACTACACCCTAGGGGCAACACAAGAAAATAAAGGTATAATTGAGGAAACACAAAATTAAAGAACACAAACAACAATCAAAATGACAGCAACCAATACACATCTTTCAATAATAACCTTAAATATCAATGGACTGAACTCTCCAGTCAAAAGACACAGGCTAAGTGAATGGATTATGAAACAAAATAAGAAACAAGCAGGGGTTACAATTTTAATATCTGACAAAATAGACTTCAAAGTAAAACTAATCAGAAGAGATAAAGAGGATCACTTCATTCTCATCAAAGGAACAATTAAACAAGAAGATATTAAAATCCTTAACATATATACACCAAATTCTGGTGCACCCAAATTCATAAAAATAACACTCCAGGACTTTAAGACACACATTAACCCCAAATCAGTAATAGTAGGGGATTTCAATACTCCACTGTCTCCATTAGACAGGTCAATGGGACAAAGAACAAACAGAGAGATGTCTAAATTTAATGATACAATACATGAAATGGACCTAACAGACATGTTTCGAATATTCCACCCAAGCACCAAAGTAAACACTTTCTACTAAAACCCCATGGAAAATTTTCAAAAACTGATCACATACTGGCCCACAAACAAACCTCAATAAATACAAAAAAAATGAAGTAATTCCATGCATTCTATCGGACCACAATGCAATGAAATTCAAAATCAACACTGGACAAAGCCTAAGTCACTATACCAACTCATGGCAATTAAACAACACACTCCTAAAAAATGAGTAGGTCAAAGAGAAATTAAGAAACAAAAGAATTCCTGGAGTTCAATGAAAAGAATAATACAACACAACACAGCACATCATAGTAAAAACACTAAACATTCAGAACAAAGAGACAATACTGAAAGCTACAAAAGAAAAACAAGTCACATATAAACGAAAACACATCAGGATTACACCTGACTTTTCAGTGCAAACTATGAGAGCCAGAAGAGCCTGGACCAAAGTATTCCCAGTTCTAAATGACCACAGATGCCAACCCAGATTACTTTACCCTCAAATATGTACCATAGCTGAAGGGGAAAGAAAAATCCTCCATGACATAAATAAGCTGAAATAATTCATGTCTACAAAACCAGACTTTTAGAGAGTTCTTGAAGCAATACAAAGAGTTGAAGAACGGAATGACTATGCACAAGGGGTGACAGAAAGAAATTCAATGAAGGTATAACTGTGGAAATGCACAGCTATATCAAAAATGGGAACAGAAATAAAAACAACAGGATTCAATACACATTTTTCATTAATAACTTTAAATATCAATGGACTGAACTTCCCAGTCAACAGATACAAACTAGTTGAATGGATTAATAAAAAAAAATCTTTCTGTTGTCTGTAAGAAACTCACCTCACTTTCAAGGACAGGTACTACCTTAAGGTGAAAGGATGGAACAAAATATACCAAGCAAATGGCACTAAGAAAAAAGCAGG